GGGTTATTATTTTATTGCAAGTGGGAGGGAGTAAAGTGGAAGAAAATTAGAGGAAGGGACTGAACTGGAAGTTGAAAAGGGGTCTAGGTACTTTTATAGAATTTGCCCTTTATATCTACACAAGTTTTTAATATATATATATATATATATATTATTTTATTTGGGTTTCTGCGTAAGTTTTATTTTTTAATATAATATTATTTTGGAAAAAAAATTGCAATTTTAGTCTCGTTGGTTTGATTCGGTGGCGTTTTTAGTCCTAAGAATTGACATTTTTGCAATTTGGTCACATGATTTTAAAATTCAATATGCAACAAAATTTAAAATTACAGACTTACATTGCTAATAAAAAATCTTTTGGATGAATTTTTTATTAGCAATTTAAGTTCTGTAATTTAAATTTTTTTGCAATTTCAGTCCTAAAAAACTGAAATTACAGCAAAATACTAAATTACAAGATTAAAAGACAAAAAGTTGAAATCTTTAGACTAAAAATACTACCACGTTAAATCAGCATGACTAAAAATAGAATTTTGCCTACTATTTTCTGATTATATTCTGTTAATTTATGAAGTGAAGGAATTTGTTTTTTTCTCTTTTATCTTAACAAAAGGTCCAAATGAGTAGATTACAAATTAAATGTCTTTATCTACAAATGAATATTTCATTCTATTGACTATATTAGTAAATTCTAAGCAAAAGATTGAATATTTTTTTAAAAAAAGAATTACTAAATTAATCATAATGTTTTTATCTCTACTGCTTTAATAATGAATTATTGAAAATTACTTTGTTTATTTTAACTTTTTTCATTTAAATTTTTTATCTGCAGAAATTTGAACCTGGGTACAAATCTCCACCTAAGAAAACCCACCAAATTGAAACAACGGTCACCATAAGGTACTCATAATAGTTCTTTATTTTTTTATTCTATTAATTTCACATATGTTGATTTTATTTTCTAAAGTTAGAATATATGCAATCGTTATGCTCAAACTCTATAATATTAGCTCCTTTTGAAAATGCACCAAATATTATATATATTCTTTCTTGTTCATCATCATGATAGTTTATCCAAGCATTTTCTCCAAATATTTTATTTCATTTGTGTGGTTGTGTCCCATACTAGTGGCAAGTAATTCAATATTCTTTTTCATTCATTAGTTTAAATAAATTAAGAAATAAATAAAAAAAGGTGTAATTACAAGCCCCACGTAGTTTTATTTGAAAATCGAGTCGTTCTCGGTTCGGCTCGTTTGTTTACTTAAACAAATTGAGCTTCAACAGCTAATCGACCTCATTTATTAATCGAGGCGAGCCGAATTGAATTTATTAGCATACACTTCATTATTATTTATAGATTTTAAATGGAACAACCGAGTCAACGTGTTTGCCAAATCGCGAACAACTAATTTAAAGTCTTCGATTTATTAATTAAACGAGCCGAGTTTAAACGAGCACTAGGTCAAACATGAACTACTCGACTCAGCTCAAATAAACCCCATAGTATAGAAGACCTCATCTTTTCTAAATATACAAAAAACCTGTAAGAAACGAGGGCGGTCCCACGCACATGAAGCGCACCATAAGCAAGAAAAGTTCAGATGAAGCCCAAGTAAAGTTCTATCCCAAAACCAATTGGTGGAAGGAGGAATAACTCATTATATTTATAAATTAGACATATTTTCCTTATACAAAACAACGTGGGACAACTCACAAGTGAATATTCTAATAAAACCTAATAGTTGTTTGATTTCTTCTTAAATATTTCCTAATTAGTATTTAGTAACATATATTAATGAATGCAAATTTGTGATTATCTTTTTTTAAAAATAGGGAAAGTTTGGAAGTGCCAAGAAATGAAGAAGAGGAAGAAAACAGAGGACAAATTCTTGAAACAGAGGATTATGAGTCTGAGTGTGCATCTGAAGCTGATAAAAGTGCTGCTTGTTGTAGATCAGTGGCTCTAATTGTAAGTCTTTCCAATTTTTTATTTTTTATTTTTCCTTTTTTTTTCTGTCTTTCCTATTTCAATTATTGAGTTAAAAAACAAATAAGTTTGAATTCATGAAAATTAAATGGGTGCATAGTTGGCAGTTTCATTATTAACCCATAAATTTGTGAAAAAATTCGCTATAGAACAAGAACGTGCTTGGTCAAGTGTGTGACATATCTGTATTGGGAGATGTTACGGACCCGTTATAGAACCATTCCGTCGGGGTTCGTAACCATTAGATTAATTATTCTCAACGATTACATGATGATTTAATAGTTACAAACTCCGACGAAAATGATTCTGTAACGGGAACGTAGCATCTCCTTTCTATATTGTATATGAATATGAGCCGCCTATTTTTCTGGTTTCATATTGAAGTTACAAATAATAATTTTATGAACTGTGACAGACTGTATTGTGCTTTTATGTGTGAAACTAGAAATAAAATAAAATTATAGCGGCGGAAATCTATAACTTGATTTTGAATAAAAATATAAATCATGTTTGGTTAGATTTATTAATGGACAAGGACCGTGAGTTATATATGTCGGACTCAAATTACGCGTGAAAGATTTTATTTTAGTCTCCGTACAACATAAGATAATATGCATATGCATACATATTAACAAATTTATGCAACACATTGAATCATTTAATTATTAATCTGCCTAATGAAGGACTATTAAATCTCATGATTAATTACACGTTTTACTTCATAATGTCATATTTACAAGTCCTCTTCATTGAATGCAACGAAATACAACATGAAACATGAATAATAGTCCGCTAATTATACTTATATGATATGAAGTGGAATGTCCCACTTTAATAGACAAATGAAATAACTATACAATCCCCAAATGAAATCTTTTTTCGTGGAATATCGCACTTTAGAATACACGTTAAATAATTATGGAGAAATGTTACGGTCCCGTTACGGAACCATTCCGTCGAGATTTGTAACTGTTAGATCAACTATCATCGACGGTTACATGATGATCTAACGGTTATAAGCCCGACGGAATGATTCCGTAACGAGACTGTAGCATCTCCCGTTCCCTAAAATTTTGGAATCGTATATTTGCAAAATTTGATTTGATCAAAACTGAGCACACTTAACAGTAATTTTTTTTTTTACTGAAACCTGCAGTTAACTGCTCTGCTTCTTGCTAGACATTTGTTTGCCGTTGTTATTGGAGGAGAAGAGACTTACCCTTTATCACTTCTTACAGTAAGTGTTTAATGTTCTTTTTCTTGTCATATACAACAATAATATATCAATCTTAACTGAACAAAAGAAAATTATTGTCATATGCAGGTGATTATAGTTAAGGCAAGTGGCATTATCCTCCCAATGTACATATTAATTCGTATTTCAGCACTACTGCATAACAGCATCAGGCATCATCATCACCAGGTTAATAATAATTTCTCCCCCAAACAATAATTCTGAAAAAAAAAAAGGAAAAAGCTCATATCAGTTTTCTTTGTTACAGAATTCTGATTCGGAGTCCGATGATGAAGATGAAGATGAAGAGCAACATAATGACGAGTTACGAGCCTGACAAAAATTTTCTTACGCCATTGATTTGTACTTGATGTGTGTAAATCTCTCTTACACTTTTACATAAACAGATGGAAATATAGATAATGTCAGCGTTCACAGATGTAATGAAACGGAGAAATTATTTTGTTTGCAATTGAAGTCGAAACACAACCAGAAAAGCCAATCAAAAGTAAATGCAAGTAGAATCTTGAAGTCCAAGTCAATTAGATATGGAGATTAAGTCATCAGCATTAGTATGTGATCACATTTAACTCAGCTCAGTTTGTTAACCAAATTCCACTAAAAAATTTCGATAAAGAAAATCTATGTACGTTCTCATTTCATTGCGCAGTCCAGATGTCAGCTTCCCTTCATTAAATACAAATAGATATCGTCACAAAATGCAACAGCAATCACTTTCAACACTTACACAAGTCCCCATCAAAATGCACATTAACTTTATCCACCAAAAAGAAAAGTACAAATGATAGGCATAAACTGACACTTAATGGCCTCAGGTTTGTTCTAGCCAGATCGGGAGATGACTTACCCGAAATGCAATCGTGACAGCTGGTCAGTCTTCACTTGTTCAAAATTCAGGAGAGAGAGAGAGAGAGAGAGGATTATGTACATGGTTTTCAATATTGTTCTAGAAGCAGCCTTGCTCTATACTGCAGATTTGCCAAAGAATCAACAACCGAACTGTTGGTGTCTGGGTGAAAATCATTAGCAGCAGTAAATTTGATCAAGTTGCCAATGATATAAGAGGACTCGTCATCCCATCTCTGAGTGGTGGAGTTGAGTTTTCTTAATCTCTTCCCGTAATTTCCTTCAAACTCTTGAGATTTAGCTGCTGCCTTCTGAAGTACTGTATCGGGAAGTCCTGCAAATAATGGTGCCAACAGCATGAGGCCCCTCGAGATTGAGTGGAATGTTTTGGCGGAGAAAAGAAGAAAATAAAAGGAAAAAGGCAGATATCAAACAACTGTATTTCTTCTCAGGAGTCGTTTACAAAAAAAATTGAAAAATCTAGTCGAGTGAACAACAAACCCAGCATTAACTCAGAATTTCCAATCCCTCCTAGTTAATTGTTTCTACTTTGCAAATTTCATTTGTTAGGACGTATTTGTAATTCATTTTTCAAGATTATTGGAGACTTCAGTGATCACAAAAACCTAATTAACGGATTTTCCTACTCTAGAGGTTTTTAAATAATTTTTAGGGTTGGTTTACCAGCTAGCCGAGCAACATTGACACCATAACTTTTGGGGCATGCACCAGGTGTCAATTTGTAGAGGAAAATTACTTCCTCCAGACCGTCAACTCCTTTTATGACTTGGCAAGCCATATGACAAAGGGAGACCTGTATGAATGGGGAAAATATACTCAGCTTTCATACACATGTTCTTATTAGTTACCCAATGAAATTGAGGTGAGCCATTCCAGGTAGAATTTTTTTCTGTATGCTTTCATTTCACAAAAGTGGTATGACTCACCTTCAGATCATTTTGGTAGTCAACAGCTAATCTATGGTAATGTGTAGAGAACATCCCTCGGCATTGTACTTCACGGACGAAGTGTTCAAGAACTGATGCGCTGGCATTCATGAATAACATACTTAATTATGCCTCATGTGATTGAAAAGGAATTCGGAATCTAATGTCTAATTCAAATCCAATTTTTTTTTAAGGCACGTACGCAATCGCTTGCCCATCTGACGTTGATGTGCCTCGTCCCAGCTCGTCCAATGCCACGAGGGAATTGCGGGTTGCGGAATTCTACCATACACCAGAACAGATTAGCACAAAGTAGAGAATCTTTTATTTCCTTGACTCGATTTTATTAACATAAACGTTATAGCTTGTAGTCTAAATTCCAGCACAAACAAGATCGTCATACCATCATCGATGCAGTCTCAGAAAGCTCAGTCAGAAAAGTGCTGTGGCCTGCCATAATCTGATCTTTAGCACCCATTCGAACAAATATTTGATCTACAGGAGACAATTCAAAACTCGAGGCAGGCACATCTGCTCCTATCTGCAAAGTATCAAAGTGAAGCCGTTAATAATGAATAAAAACATTTTTTTTTTTCTTTCCCCTTTTGTTTTTCTGGTGCTAATTGGAAAAAGTAAATCCAAAAATCTTACCTGGGCCAGAATCACAGCCAAGCAAATTTGGCGTAGAAGGGTAGACTTCCCACCCATGTTGGGACCAGTAAGGAGTATAAAGCTAGCCTGACCAGGACCACCCAACATGACATCATTGGTAACAAAAGTACTCTCTCCCAAAGCATCACTTCTTAGAACAGGATGTCCTAAACTCTTAGCACTAAGGCATGGCAAGTCATTATGGTGTATTGTGGTTATAATTGGACGGCAAGTTTGGCCTTCATAATATTCAGTTGCAATGGACAAGCTGATTAAACAATCCAGTTCTGTAAGATATAAGTAAGTCTCAGTTCACCTCAAAAAAGTGCTATGTAACAGTACATTTCCAGACACTATACAAAAACGTTTGCTGTTGCACCAAGGTGCAATTGCTTTTTTTCCTCCGCAAAGACTTGAAAACCAATTGTATGCAAAAACACACACACACACAGAAAGAAAATATCATGGAACATATTTCACACGAGATGAAATGGTCACAGAATTTAAGGTCCGCATAATATAGATCAGTAAAATTCAGACAGCTCCAATTCAAATTCTCAAGGCATTAATACCTGCTATCGTAGAGACTATTTGTCTCCATTTAATGTGATTCTCGCAGAATCGTTCAATTAGTCTCCGGAGAATGCTCTTCAACTTTGCTTCCTTCTCGGATTCAGCTTGAGCAAGCTCTTTCATCAAATCTTTAATCACTGGAGTCCAGTAGCGGCAGAAGCCCTGCACATAATTTATTCCAATATAAAAAGAAAGGCTGCGATGCTTATTCGCATGAAAAAAAATTACATCTGAACAAAATAACGAAAGAGATACAAGGCCAGGTATGTGTTAATTTTGCACCAGTAAATAAAAACTCTAATCTATACTTCACAATATTTGCAAGGTGCTTGCTCAAATATTTAATTATAAACTTTACCTACGACATAAAATTAGTCTAATGAGGATAATTTTTTATTAATCACCCTTTTACTAAAGTCACAATACTAGCAGTCTTATTCAGGAAAGCCACTCTATTTCATATAATAGACTTTGTTTATATATAAATCTGCCGCAAGCACATCGTTTGAGCAGGAATGGCCACATAAATAAATGAACATAGTTTACAAAATTAGCCAAAAAATTGTTGTATTACCTTCTTAGATGATCTTAACTCGTATTCCTTTGGAATGCTCTGTGATAAGCTTTCACGCACTTCCAAAAGGTATGCATCTTTTCCAATCGTGACAAAACAAATCTACACATAACACAAAATAAATAAAATTATGCTGATCGATACCAAAAAGTTATGATTGTTGGACAGTGTTAATCATAAGTTCTTACAGAAGCATCTCCAAGTACTTTCCTCTGTTCCTTTAAATGTTTTTGGAGATTGGACTCAATATGTCTAACCATTTGGCATGCTGCATCATACTCAACATCAGCCCCCTCTCGAGGTATTATTCGTCCTGACTGATTGGCTTCCTCCCAATCAAAGGCATTTTTGAAATGCTTTAAAATTGAATGAACTTCAGAATCCCTACAGCCTGGAAAACAAATCAACTATAGAATATTATAATCGCTACAAAATATAAGAACCAAAAATTATGGGGCATACCAGGCATTAATAAATGACTCAGCAGTCTCGACTCCACATTGTCTAAGATGGCTTTAAGTGAAGAGCATCCATGCATCATCATTTCACATCCACGTAGAGCTGAAATGAATTCTTGGAGCTGCTTCTTAGATGCATCCTCATAAAGAACAACTTTGTTTGCATTCCTTCCATTAGCTTCACTGTATTTACCCAAAACAGTTCATAAATCTCTTGGAAGGACATACTAGGTTCACTCAAATAATGCCTAAACAATAAAACTTTGCAACTTCACCTGCCAGCAAAGATGCGTGCAAGCAAACGCTCCATGTCGGGAAGCTTTGATAACTCTTTTCTAAAGCCAAGAACATGTGGTTGGTTTACTCCCTAAGACAAAAAAAATCAACAAAATAAATGATTAATGATTGCAAACGCCATCAGTTAAAATCTTTAGACTTCAATAATTGAAGACGCCATTTAATTCCATTTATACGTGGAAACGTGAGATTTCAAATCAACAACCAATCAAGCATGGTAGTATCGACATACTTTTTTCAGTCCTGCAATAGCATCCTGGCGTTCTTTAATTGACTCAATATGATACAAAGGTCTTGCCAGCCATGTTCTGAGTAATCTTTTACCAAATGCTGTGGCACAATGATTCAACTGAGCATATAGTGTCCTGAGGAAACCAAAAGGTGAGGCAGTGTACAAAAGTAACACGTTGGTTATACAGAAAGCTTTAAAATAATGCACGAATAACAGTCCACGTTACCCTGAAGAATCTCCATTTCTGCTGTTCTCAAATATCTCAAGATTTTCCAGTGCAGATGCATCAAGAACCATAAATGGTTTTTGAGTTATTTCACCAAAACAAGAACACGGAAGCAATTCAAATTTCGCAAATCTGACAAGAGTTTCATCCAAAAAAGCTTGTTTCAGATAGAAAATAGCGCCACCAAGAGCTGAGAGTGCTTGGCTTCCATTTTCACCAGCACTCACAAGATTGGATAATACATCAGGTAGGCAGTTTGTACCATCAATTTCCAATAAAGATTCACTGGATTGAGCAACTACTTCACTCTTTGAATGTGAATGACCTCCAGCTCGTTGATAGATAGCCGTAACCTCACGAATAGTTTTTGCAGCATCCCAGAATTCAGAAAAAGGAACCAATTCATTAACCAAAGGATTTCTTGTATGCCTAAACAGTGCCTTTTCAGTCTCAGGACAAAGCAGTTTAGCAGGTTTTATAATTTCAACTGGTCTCAACTCAGATAATAAACTGCATAATGAACTGCAATCCGCATCATCCCTGAACTGATCAAAAGAAGTATACTTAATCCTACAGAGAACATACAGAAACAAAAGAAAAGAAAGTATAAAGATTAACTCTGGCGTGCATGCATGTTGAGGGGGTCACAGAAACTGGGCAGGTGTTCAGATGAAAAGAAAATATTCATTCATGCTATACCTTGGTTCTGAATACACAGGAATTCACACCACCTTGAATACCAAAGAAGTACAGATATGAGGTATTAGGACCTTATAATACATCAAAATTTCTCCTATTATTTAACTTCAGGTCCTCAAAATGAACAGCTTAATTTATGGGCACATGCAATCAAATAGTATGCAGACACCCCATGAGAAGAACTGAACAACATATGAGGATTAAAAAAAAAAAGTCATGCACAACTAAATCCTATGCACATCATCTCTGTTAGTCTGATACAATTAAGTTACACCCCACACCTGTCCAAGGATAATTTTGCTCGTTGCAACATCAACCACACAGATACCAAATATGTGAATTCCTTGTTGATTTGTGGAAGTTAGACAGCCCTCCGTCACTGCTAATAGATAGGAAGCATCAGGGTTGGTTGAAAGCATTTCTCCTTCTGTTAAAGTGCCTTTTGTAACCACAGCACATATCTCTCGTTTCACAACCTGGAAAGGTACAAAACTATCAGCCCCATAAAACAAATGATAATGTAATTATAAAGAATATTTCTTGCAAGCCATGAGATTAATGTCGGATGACAATAATAATGTAATTATAAAGAATATTTCTCACAAGTCATGAGATTAATGTCGGATTACTCATGACCTTATCTTTAGAGCCTTTTTCCTTTCGACGAAGCTCAAGCTGTTCAGGTGTCTCTGTTTGCTCCACAACAAGAACACGATATCCCTGTTTATATCATATATTCTCATAACAATTAATCTCTCCAAAGTACATAGACCTTTTATGAGTCAAGAGCCAGGACAACAATAGTTTACAAGCAAAGGTAACCTTTCTGGCCAGCTTCTCTACATTCACTGAGAAGTTTTTCTCCGGAAATCCACAATGAGGTTGCTCCCCCTGACAGCACAAACAGCTGTTAGAAATCAAGTCAAGCAATAAAGTAATCTTGAGAGCAAGTTCAAACTGCCTGAACATTGATTGATCAGGAGTTAGAATTCTTAAGGAGGTAATTTTATTAATTTTTTTTTGTTTTCTTCTTTTTGTGTCTAAATAGTTTACTATGTATTAACAGACTCCTATACCTTCATATACTGCAAACCAAGCTCTCTGGCTCCAACATGTGCATCCATTTCAAAAAGCTCATAGAACTTGCCCATCTGGTTCATTCATTAAAAATACCAATGATCCCACAACAAGATAGAATAATGAATAAATCCGACAACATGAACTAGCGACATAAATTATTCTGAATGAACTTGGTAATTACCTTGAAAAACAGAACCTTATCCATATGCTTTGATTTAAACTCCCACCATTGCCTCTAAAATTATAACATGCGTAAATATAACAATTTCAGAAATTATTCTAACAGAAGTATAAATAATAACTAAGGAAGTCATATACCTGGCCACCAGTTAAGTTTTTCACAAAATCCGACGGCAAATAAAGGGTTCTTGGGTCATAATTTACATCCCCAGGGCACCTTCCGCTTGCATCTTTACGATTTCTATTTCAGAAAGGAGACCAGTTAAACATGCACCAGGTAAAAGTATAGCGATATATATCTATTGATAAGGACATTATATATGGGAATGCCTCCAAATTATAAATAAACATTAGCAGCAAAGAGGTTACAGATTCTTCCATTTGCTTCACTGTGATATCAAGAATAAATATCAAGATTATACAAAGACTTACACATCAAGGAAATGTAATTTATCTGCTTCTCGACTGGCAAATCTGTCTGCATCATCTCCCACTTTGGAGCTATCTACAAGAGATGCTTTCTCACCTACGATGAGATACTGTAATATTTACTTCGGTTCACAGAATCAGTATGTGGTGTAATAAACAATCGAATTCATTCGGATAATTAAAAGAACTGGCACATTTAAACCAGAATAAACTTGAAATATCAAACTCAGAATATATAATAGGCTTAATTGAATTGACGCCTACAACAATTGTAGGCTACTGGAATTCATAATCAACTTAAACAAGGCAACCACAATAAAGATGAAGGAAAAATGATATTATACAATACGATAACTTCAAGTAATCTCGAACAGGAATAGAATGGAATCCAGCCTATTACAAATAAAAAGACAACACAATATGTTTACTTCTTTTTATTTTATTGGAAGAAGAAAAGCTTCAAAAACACTTACTACAAGGACTAAATCTTTTACTGGGCTCAGTCAACTTTTCTGCAGCTGAGACCTCTGCAGCACTATTTTTCAACCCTCCACCAAATTTGTTTTTCTTGTTGCCCACCGACGGCATTTGTTCTTTTTCACTCATATTCCTTTTTGGGGAGCTCGTCTTCTTCCCAAGACCACCCTTTCCAGATTCCTCTTTTTCCATCTCCAAATCCATATTCTCCAAACCTTCCTCATCGTCTAATACTTCATTTTCATCATTTCCCTTCCAATCCTCATCACTGGAATCATCTTCTACTTCTTTGGCATCATTAAGACCACCATCATTGTCCTCATCGTCTTCAACTACCGATAATCTTCTAAGCCTCCGGAGTTTCTTCTTCAACGGCTCCTCAATCCACTCAATTTTCTCCTCCGAAAGATTCAGCATTTCCTCCTCCCCGTCATCGTACTGCACCAGATGCTTCCCGGATATCTTGTCGAACGACTTCACGCAGCCTTCATACCACGACTTATCCAACGGCCAATACACCTTGATCCTCCTGTCAACAGCATCAGTCCCGCATGATTTTTCATCGGAGCTCCGAGACTCGGGTGAGGCAGACGCCGAATTCGGGGTGACAGCAATAAAGGGCTTTTTGCACGTCAATTTCTTATTGGAGCTAAAATTTTCCGGTGAGACAGAGGTCAAATTCGGGCTGATAACGAGTACGGGCTTTCCGCTTTTAGGCGGCATAGGTGAGGGAGTCGACGGGCTCGGGCTTGGGCTAGGGTTAGGGTTCCTTTTAGAGAGAATGGGCGATGGCGAAGGTGAAGGAGTGGGCGACGATTCCGGCTTCTTGCCGAAGAATGCGGTGATCTGACGCTGCGGATTGACCATCGGCGACCGGCCGTTGCTCGTCTTCTTCGATGGGGCCATCGGATTATTGTTCTGTACCTTTGTTGCGCGTGTGTGGAGGGTGATGAAAGTGGAAATGGAATTGCAAGGTCAGTGGAGAGAGAGAGAGAGAGTTTCAGTGTGTCAAGGCGGGAAGTAGAGATATACGGAGGAGGAAGGCGCAATCGCAGAGGAAAAGGGCGGGAAGGATACGGCGAGGCGCGTGGGGCAGCGAGCTTTGGCGGGAATATCATGCAACGCGTGCGGTTGTATTTGGGCCTGGAGGCCCAAGAGATGCCTGAAGCTAATTACCGTTGATGACAGGTCTTGAATATTAACAGATGAACATAGGCCCAAATTATTAGGCCTCAAAGGGATCAGCCTCTAAAAATGTCATATGACCATAGTAAAGCCCATCTACAGTGTAAATGCAAGAGGTGGTTCTTAGTCAAAAGTAATGGTACGGTTAGACGGTTATATTTTTTTTAAATCATAATATAAAAGTGATATATTTTAAAAAAATAATAATAAATAGAAATATAACATTTTTTATTATAAGCATATATTTTTTTGTTTAAAACGTATAATGGTCAGAAATTATGGTGCAAATATCAGGTTGGTTGAAACTTGAAAGGCGGAGACTTGATTTAATAGCTCAACTCTGATAGTAATTGTTGATTATTTATCATGTGAATAAAGAAAATTGTTAAATTGATTAAATTCTTTTAATAGAAAATAATTATAACCTTATAGTTGACATGTCAGGCGATCAATTAAATCTATTTTATTTTAGTTTTCCGCGTGCCATAACAGTTAACTGTTATAGTTATAAATTTAATCAATTTCACATTTTTTATTAAATTCATTTTTCAGTATGGTTATGACATATTTTCCCGTGTGCCATATCAATTAAGTCGATTTTTGTTTTATTGTTTTGTAAGCAATATAATCTTTTATAATCTCTAGAATAGTGTAGCTTTTGGTGACAAAACCATGTTCCCAAATTTAAAAGAAAAGGGTAAACCAGATTTGGTTTCCTTTAGTGAGTGGTCAAATAAAGTGTGCCACTCCATAAAGTCTCAAAAAGATTTTATCACTTTATACCATGGCCTCCAACAAGAGATGGCTGTACAAAGAAAGTTTT